ACAAAATTCCTGAAAATTACCCCGCCCTGAAACGGCAGTGTCGACGTAGCTCTAATTTCCGAAAAACAAAAGCGGCACCCTTTCTGGAGTGCTTATAGTGTTTAGAACTTTTGCTTTTAGATGTGGTTTTTGGAAGGAAAAATGTGTCTAAATATAATATTTTACAAGAAAATGACCATGCACCACCCAGGGGCGGATCCAGACCGTTGCCAACAATGCGAATGCATCGGTCAAAATTGAGAAATCATGTTGCTTGAAATAATATATAGACATATTATGCTGTCGTCAATACTTGGTCAAGCACTCAGTAATATAATATCTTTGAATCGATCTCTCCAGCTATTAAACCGTAAATATTTGCTTAAACTTGACTCCATGTCAGGAATACACTATTTAGGATGAAATCCAATTTAAATAGTCTCAATAACAGTCGAAATTGTCAAAATAAGTCCAATATGCGACGTGCGATCGCAAACGTGTACTTTTTGTTATTTACTTTTTATTTTGCGACACTTAAGCGTCAATAATTTCGCGACAAAATGTTATTTTTTACCGCATCCTTTGACGTCACAGTAGAAAGCTGATGCATCACCTACGTCACGGTAGATTTGGTTTGCATCGATTTTCAGCCATTTTGCATCAGCGAATGCATCGGTTCCGAGTCCTTTTCGGCGTGAAATCTACTGTGACATCATCAAATCTATTGTTTTAGAGCCCTACGTCACGGTAGATTTGTCCGCTGAGCGATTCATCGCATGCAGATTGCGGGCGCTCACATCGGTTCACTGATGCAAATTACAAAATCAAAATCTACTGCGACGTAACGATGCATTCGATCCAAGTCATGGCGGCAAGGATATGCAAGCACTATATACAAATGAGACAAATAATGGGAAGAAATATCTCTTGAAATTGACGGAGAAAACGGAGAACAAATTACCGAATTAATTACCAAGGCTTGGAATGAATCTAATCTTTCATCTGAGTACAAGAAGTGAAGTATATTTATACTGTGAGATGCCCACTATGTGGAACTCGAACTGAGGGCTCTAAAGTTAGTGAAATTTATCTATATTTTACATTGTAGTTCATTGTTCAGTTCAAGAAGTGTATAAAGTGGAAAATCAGGGCTCCACAGTTAATGCAGATTTGTTTGTATTAACATAATAATTAAAGTTTGTGTCTATTTAATACTGTTGCTTATACCAGCAGGGGGAGAGGGGTTGGATTAGGTAGTTTGACATTTTACAGTCTTTACCGAGTAACAGAGGTTTGCTTGTCTGGAGGCAAACCAGCCCCAATACCAACTTCACAGCTTGCTTTACTGAAGCAAATTTCATCTCTGTTTACATTACAACCTGCGCCCAGACCTTTATTTTTCTCACAGCTGGCAGGCAAAGAAAAATGAAGACCTGATACACATGTTATTAAACATTTGTGTCCTACAACTGCCTTTATGGTTGTAACTCTGATTGGCTATTTCTAGCATGAGTATTCATGCCATATTTAATGTATTTTTTTATATTTTGATTAATTAATGCTATATATAATTAAATAATTATAGATTTAGTGATTGTAACTATATTTAGCTTGTTGTTAAATTATTAATTGACATTTCTCCTGGCACATTTTGATTGGATACCGGTACTAAAAATAAAACTATGGTGTGGGTCAAGACTTGCATCAGGCTCTGTATGTAATTACAGTGCATTATAATAATATTGCAGGTTAATATTAATGAGATTTCTAATAGTGATGCAATATTGGTTAGAAGACTAAGGGGGAGTTTACTTTGAAAAGTAATTGGTTCAAGTTGCAAGTTCCAGCGGTATCTCCTATTACATTTCATTTTCATTTTATATGGAAATGAGCTGGCATGCCTCATGACAAGAGTCTAATTGCTTTGCATTGCCTGAGTTATTGGGCAATTACTGTACACTGGATATTTTGCAAACAAAGGTGATCACCTGGGCTTGCACACCTACCATAGTTGAGTATATATGCTTTGTCTGTGCAAATATAATTTGATATAAGCTGCATATGTCATTCTCCTGACAGATTTTAATCTTAGAATGATAAAATGATGGACGGTATAAATACTGTATGTAACTGTAACTGGTGTATATAGGATATAATTATGAAATTTGCTCACAAAAGTGGGATAGTTTGGAAAATATATTTAATTAAATTATATATTTGTAGTGCTATTTGTCTCAAACTATATACCCTGAGGATTACCATTGATAAGTGTATGGATATATTTGACAAAGATGTGCATTTATATAATAACACAGGGAAAATATTCATCAATACTACTGCGCAGCCTTTCTAAATTGACAACATCTTATTAAATATTAGTTGAAAGGCAGGCAAAAGGGGACAGATAGAAGACATGATTCAATTATGTCATGGTATATTGTTTATCATAATGATTGTACAATTTGGTAGGTTCATTTGACAAACAATTTCGAACTAAGATAGTTCATTAAATCAATTTACACACAGTCTCTATTGATTTAAAATTTGTGGTCGTGTGTACCTAGTTATACTAATAGAATTTTAAACCCAGTACTTGTTGTGTGTTAGTTTATTCCGAGTGTGGGCTATTCACCATGCAGTTCATCTCAAAGGCAGCTAGGGGTGAATGAATTTAATGAAATTGACCAACTGATGTTAACCACACTGTCCATACAGAGTAAGATTAGCAGCATAAGACAGAGTTGTATATAAATAAGTTTACCCACTAGAGCACAAAATACCTGTATGCGCTATACTAATGCTAGAAGATTTTACTCATGGAACATTGGAAATTAGTGGAAACTAATAAGGGAAGGTGGTTAAAAAGCAACACAATAACACTGCCTTCTGAGTCCAGCAATGCAATTATGGATCACACTATATACACCTTTATTACACGCATGTGTGTATTTGCGTTGCTCGTGATCTTTTGCCGAAATATTTTTCAATAGAAAAGTTAAGGCTACAAGAAGCACAGTACTGACTATTTTTGAATAGAGACTTATGTACCACTGCTGCTATTACACTTGTACAAGCAAATATTGTTTTCTTAAATAGAGACATTACGTTGTTTTTACGATATAGGTTCAAGTTTTTACGTGCTTTCCAAAAATGCAGCAAATAATGGTGATGTATGAATTGAAACAAAAGAGTTCGCTCAGAACGCAGGAAATCGCATTTCCGAGGTCGTAGATTTCAAAATTTCCCGGGGAAGAATACCCCCGGATCCCGCTAAAAATGCGAGGTCTTAGGCATCAGTCAGCTCAGGAACTGGATCCGCCCCTGGCACCACCCCAGGTCAACTGCTAATTATGCATGAAATAACTAATATACCTGGCAAAGATGGAATTTTCTTATTTCCTAAAAAAATTTATTATGGGATGAAACACTATGCTTAATTTAAAATAATTATTGTACATTTATAAAGATAATTTATTTCACTTATGCCCCCAACCAAAACGCGATTTCAGCCATTTTTGCCTTCTTGTCTGCTTTTTATCGCCGAGTCTCGCAAATATCATCCATCTGCATAATGATAGATGGCTAAAGAATATTTCAACCAAGTTTCGTAAAGTTTTGAAGCAGTGCGGTCTATCTAATCTCCAATATTGTGTCTCTCGACATTTTGTCAAATATGCCGCCATTACAATGCCTAGGCCTCGCCACTTTCTGCCCGATAAATGCCATTCCTTCGTTTTCATATGTATTTAGCTTACAGTATCGAAGAGTACTTCATTGTAGAATAGTTCCAATCGAAAAATTGAAAACATTAGTTGCACTTGAAAGGAAAAAACATGAAACCTCTAATAATCCAACCAATAATTCGTCGAATAACCCGTTCTATTGTTCGTCAAATAATCGACTAAGAGTGTCCAATAACTTACAGCGATACCCTCATAATTTGGGCTATACATCTTATCCAAATATATCACAACCTATTACTAATCATTTTCCTTTTCCTGTGAATCCAAGCCATTTCCCCCCGTTTCAACCCCCACAGTATCATCCAATACTTCGACCATATGTATACCCACCACCTCTGTTGACATAAATATAACCCCTTTACGGCCCCCTGTCGTGTCCCCCTTAACATCACCTACAATAACGTTTACTAGCATGCCTTTGAGCTGAGTGTTCTAAATCGTCCTCGAAAAGATACTAAGAGAGATACTAAGAATACGGAACGAACTCGATCTGTATATTTTAATAATTTAATTTATGTCAATTGTACAAGGGAACAGGAGACTTATTTTATGCCTATCAACTTTTGCCTGTTGAACACCAGATCAATAAATAGGAAAGTACTTTTATTAATGATTATGTGTCTGAGAACGATATTGATATTCTAGCAATGACTGAGACATGGTTACTTGAGGATGATAATGAATTTTCTATTGCTGAAATCTGCCCAACGGGGTATCACTTTTATCACGTTACAAGGAAAAATGCACGAGGTGGAGGAGTTGGTCTCTTACTGAAGAAATACATTAAAGTCAAAAAAACAATCTCAGAGAAAATTCTCTTCTTTTGAATATATTGATGTCACCTTGAACTGCCGTAATACCTGCACTAGAATGATTGTCATTTATAGACCACCCCCATCGAAGACTAATAAATTAAGCAGCTCAATATTTTTTGAAGAATTCTGCATATTTGTGGAACAGTTGATCATATTACCTGGCAATATATTAATGGCAGGAGACTTTAATTTTCATATAGATAACATTGGAGATTCAGATACTATTAAACTCAACAAGATACTGGAATCGTTTAATTTACAACAGCACGTCAATGGGCCAACCCACAAGAAAGGCCACACCGTAGACTTGATTATAACAAGGAATGAAGATAAATCAGTGACTGGTATCAGAATACATGATCCAGTAATATCAGATCATCTTGCCATACATTGTACATTACAGTTAGAGAAACCACCATTAGAACAAGCTGAAATTTATTATCGAAAATTAAACAATGTAAACATGGATAGTTTCAATGATGATCTAAAAGTACTAGATTTAAATGACGATTATGATCTCTCAGTCCTTATTGATAAATATGAAAATACGTTGAAAGAAACATTACAGCAGCATCCTCCACAAAAACGACGAATTATAACTCTTCGTCCTTTATCACCATGGTACAATGAGGAGTTTGGTCAAGAAAAAAGAAATCGCAGGAAGCTAGAGCGCCGCTGGCGCGCATCTGGACTATGTATTGACAGACAGTTATATGTCAAACAATGTGAGACAGTGAATGCCATGATAAAGAATGCTAAGACAACATACTACTCATCGGTTATTTCCAGTAATGCACATAATCAGAAAGTGTTATTTAGTACGGTTGATAAATTACTCCATCGAAAGCCAGAAAAGCGCTATCCAACTGCGTCATCAACGACTGAACTCGTGAATAATTTGCAGATTTCTTCAGTAATAAGATTGCTATTATATGGAAAGAACTGGCCATTGATTCTTCCCACTGTAATCAGCGAAATCAAGAGGAACAATATGCACAATTCGTTAAATTCATTAACTTTCAAGAAGTCACGGAACATGAGATTGAAAATGTTATTGATAAAGTTGGTAAAAAATCTTGTGAACTTGATCCAGTTCCCGCAAAAATCTTTCAAGGTTGTCAGAAGACTCTCTTACCTATAATTACTAAGATCAGTAATAAGTCACTTCAGTCAGGTTGTATGCCTGAGAAACTAAAAGAAGCCGTGTTGAAACCAAAACTAAAGAAAGATTCGCTGGAGTACGAAGAATACACAAATTTCCGACCTATTTCAAATTTAAAATTCCTGTCTAAAGTAATTGTGAAGGTTGCTGCCGTTTAGCTTCTGGAACACTTGGCTAATAACCTCTTAGAAGAACCTTTCCAGTCGGCATATAAACGTTTTCATAGTGCAGAAACAACCCTATTAAAAGTACAAAACGATATTCTTGTAGCCATTGATAATCGTAAGTGTGTGGTGTTGCTATTACTAGATATGTCAGCAGCATTCGATACTGTTGATCACGAACTTTTACTACAACGAATGTTCAAAAGATTTGGGATAGATGGGCAAGTGTTGAAATGGTTTCAGTCCTATCTTCAGAATAGAACGCAAAGTGTAGTGATTGACGGTGTTAAATCTATCTCTAAAGACTTGCGCTGTGGAGTCCCACAAGGATCAGTTCTCGGCCCTATACTATATTTACTATACACTTAACCCCTTGGTGATATCATCAGAGGTCATGGCCTTGATTTTCACTTTTATGCAGATGACTCGCAATTATATCTCGCTTTTGAGTCAACCATTGAGGGAAAATTGGGAGCACTGGCACAAATTGAAATGTGTGTGAAAGAGATTGATTTGTGGATGGTCAAAAATAAATTGAAATTGAATGGGGACAAGACTGAACTACTAGTAATCAATGCACGAAATCGTTCATGCCCTGCTGTAGAATATATAGAAGTATCTAATTCAAGAATTCAACCAAGTACTTCAGCACGAAACATTGGTGTAACTTTCGACCACCACATGTCTATGGATAAACATGTTACCAATATTTGCAAGAACTGTTTTTTACATTTCAGAAAAATAGCAAGAATAAAAGAGTACTTATCAACGTCAGATATCCAAACTTTAGTTCATGCCTTTATTACATCGAAACTGGATAATTGTAATTCTTTATTATACGGATTGCCTAAATTTCTTATTGATCGGTTACAGAATGTGCAAAACTGTGCTGCTCGACTGGTGACAGGAAGCAAAAAATACGATCATATTACTCCATTAATGAAACAATTACATTGGCTCCCCATCAGTCAACGCAACATCTATAAAATTGTTCTTGTTACGTATAAATCTTTGAATGGCTCAGCTCCACACTACATTAATAATATGCTAAAACCTTACACACCATCAGCAAATTTACGCTCCTCATCCAAAGGATTGCTTACCATACCCTCAGTAAAACTAGTGAACTATGGTGAACGATAGTTCTCATATGCTGCACCGAAACTGCCAGAGTATATTAGAAAGAGTGAGACCTTGCCTATTTTTAAAACCAGATTAAAGACACATCTTTTTAAACAGTATTATGACTAAGTTATTATTTTAACAAGATTATTAGCAATTTTATAGTATTTTATATATAGTTGTTGTTTTAATATTACCAACATACATAACATAAAGTAATTTTATATTCTTAACGAGAAGAGCATATAATTAATTTTTTAGTAATTTTATAGTATAGTAATTTTAGTAGTCAATGCATGTACTATGTTCTAACACTTAGTATATATTTTTAACACTTAATGTTAAGCGCTATTGAGCTATGGGAAATGGCGCTATATAAATGAATTATAATAATAATAATATTAAACGGTGCAATGACTCGTGCAACTTGTCTCGCAACGCCATTGCGAGACAAGTTGCATGAAATATTGCACCGTGTAACAGGGCCTTAAAACTGGTTTTCCACATGCCAAATTTTTCGCGCGAAGCGAATTTTTCATTTGTCTTTGGTCTCTCAACTGCAACAATTTGGAATTAATTGGATAAAGACAAAAGAAAAATTCGCTTCGCGCGCAAAAATTCGCAAGTGGAAAACAGGCTTTTGTATTTACATAAACATGTAATTGTGTCTTGTGGTTGGACTAGAGCTCGACTGCGGTTGGACTAGAACCGTCTCTCTGTAGCTCAGTTGGTTACAACACTGCACCGGAATCGCAGGGCCGCAGGTTCGATTCCTGCCAGAGGGCCGATAGTTGCATTTTTCGCAACTGCTCCTGATTATGATATTTGCTGTCTTGGTGTAATGCACTCAGGTGAATAAGATGCTTGTGATGTTACTCTGATCAGGTCTAATAAATGCAGGGACGCCGGAACGATGTGAAGGCAAGGGGAGCAGATTTTCGTGAAAGGGCACTATTGAATTGATATATACTAAGAGATGTTTGCAAAACTTCGGGCAGTTGAATTTCGCCTAATCATGTTTTCTATTTATTGGATGATAGGGGTGTGAGGGGGTTCTCCGCCAGGCGATTGTGCTATTCTTGAAGCTCGATGACTGCATTTCTTGCGTTTTCTGAGCAAATTCGTAAAAAAATTGCACTAACATTTCTGACAATTCGCTATTTCGCCAAGGCAATCCTTTAAATTGAAAGGGCACCTTTGCCCCCCTTGCCCCTCCTGGTAAAGGGCAACAGGGGCGGCT